TTTTTTTTTTTTTTTTTTTTTTTTTTTTTTTTTTTTTTTTTTTTAATTTTTGAAATCTCACTTAACTTTTTAGATTAGCTTTCGTGAATTTCATTAGACAAAAGGATAAAACAAAAATTGTTCGCAGACCTACTATCAAACACTGCTTATTATAAAACAGGGTTAGCGAAATCTGCAATAATTTCTATCACACAATTTCTACACTCAATTCTCCACAAATGAAAAAATAGAGTTCTAGGATTGTGTAAATTAACAGATAAAGCTGAAATTGAAATAATACATTTAATTGCTTGTTAAAAACGTAACCAAGAACTTTGCTTTTGACAGTGGCAACTCTGTTTTTATCACGAACTAAATAAAGTACAAGCATTAATAAAAACATTAGATACTAGGTAATTAATACAAAGTAAATTAATTTTACATCAGTTATTTAAATTTTGTCAGCTATTTGAATCTAAAGCCACTACACTTAATTTACAATTCAATAAATCAAGTTATCGATTTGTACAAATCTTATAAAGCAGAGAAAAGCACAATAAGCAATTAATATCAATAAGTTTACTTCTAAACGTAACTAATAATAAAAGTATCTTATTTCAGAACATCCTATGCAATCTACATAAATCGTACAAAGGTATTGATAAATAAATGAAAAAGGTTTATATTTACATGTAAATTTAATATATTTAATCAGTTAAAAATATATTTTAAAGAATTGACAAGTTAAACGACAGATATATAAAAAAATTTAAATGGCAAACATTAACCTGTAAGCTGAATCACAGTAACGAGCAAGAACCAACGAGTAAGAAACGAACACTAGTGTCTCAATGTAGAGTCGAGTGGAAAATGGCTCTCTATGGAAATCCTATGTTAAGAGCTTACGCATGCGCCGTGTAAGGTTTTCTGGCGACAAAAGCTTGGCGTCAAAATTTGGAGTTGAAATCTTGGCAGGCCATGCGAGTTGAAGTTGAAGTTTTTGATTTGTGGATTTAAGGAACTAAGCTTGTAACCTTTAAGCTATTTTTAATCAAATACTCTCGAACCCTTTCAATTATTTATTAATAAAGTTAAGCTACTTGCAGTGAAGTGAATGCAATGAAATAGTTTGATCCGTTCTGTGTAACTTGTTGCACGTTTCAAATTTAATTTAATTATTTTTAAAATTGTTAATTATTTAATTTTTTCAAATTGTGAAATGAAATTTTATATGTGAATGAAAATGTATCTGTACAGATGCATGTGCATAAATTGAGGGAAAAAGGACAAGTGCTTATTTACAAGCCAAAAGAAGAACAGCTTTCCAGTTATCCTTGTTTGAAAAAAGATTTTACCTTGGGATGATGAACTCTGCTCAGTTGAAAATATTACAAATGTATGGAAATGACATAGTCATGATTGATTCGACTCATGGAACTAACCAGCAAGGATACTTATTAACTACTATTTTGGTGAAGGGTTTCCTGTTGCAACTCTTTACTCCTCAAGAGTATCTGCTGATGTTTTAGAACCATTTTTTGAAGAAATAAGGATGAAGTATGAAGATTTCAAGCCACGTGTTTTCATGTCAGATGATGATCCAGCATTGTATAATTCTTTCAAGAATGTCAGGGAATTCTTTCAAGGAAAATCAACTTCTTTGTACCTGGCATGTCAAGCATGCATGAAAGTTGAAATTAGTGCAAAAAATTAAAAAGGAAGATGTCAGTGAAAGTGTGAGAGAAGAATTGTTTTTCTGAATCTGATCAGAAAGAATTTGATAGGAGGATTACAGTTTTTGTTGACAATCTCTTAAAGAATGATGATACTGTGGCCTTTGGACTGCACTTCCAGAAATATTACATGGGTCATGTTCAAGTTTGGGCCTATTGCCACCGTCTTGGACTCAAAGTGAATACTAACATGAAGGTTGAACGCTGGCTTAGAGAGATAAAGTATGAAGAAGCTGATGGCAAGGTTGTAAAGTGCCTCGACAAGTCTATTTCAATAGTTTTAAATGCAATCAACAGGAAAATTATAGGTCGATTCATGTCAATGGAAAGGAGTAAGTTGACATCACTGCATGCACAAATTAGAGCCAGACATGATGCCGCCAAAGAATTACCCAAGCAAAATGTTTACGTTCATAGTACAACAGAATGGCATGTTGTATCTAGTAGAGCAAGACTTTTTACCAATAGTATAGAAACATGCACAGTTCAAAAAGAAAGTGCTTGCAACTGTGACATTAAATGTCCAGACTGTAATATCTGCATTCACAGTTTTTCTTGTACCTGCATTGATTATAAAGTCAGATTTGTAATCTGTAAACATATACATTTAGTTGACATAAACTTTCCACCAAGTGTACCTTCAAGTGACAGTGCATCAACTTCAGAGGACAACAGTTTTGTAATAGATTTTGAAAAGAAGCAGTGCAGGATTGAGGAAGAAAAGGAAACATTAAACAAGCATTTGAAAAAAAATTCTAATTTTGATGATTTGAGAATCAAGGCTCAGAATATATTTTCTAATTTAGCTGCCAAGTGAGCAGATCCAAGCACATCTCGTGACGAGTTGAGTTTATAGATTGAGCAAGGTGAGCTGCATTAAGGTCAGAGGGAAGAGTATTGTCAACTACCAATGATGATAATAGGGTTTCTGGGTTGAAAAGAATAAGTCCACAGTGTAGATTGTATCTCAAAGAAAAAAGAAGTGATCACGCCAACTGCTGAATAAGAAAATTCCAGTTGGCAATATGAAGTTCTGAAGCACCCGTTTAAAGTTTTAGCCTGAAGTCTTTCCCCGTGACCCCAGAGATCACCTCGAATAAGGATCGTGCAGGAATAGCCTTAGCATTTTCTACAATCTGTGTTTTCTTTCAGATTTCTCCTCACCCAGCAGTACTTCAGGTCAGCACGGCCCTGTAGGAATCTGGTTTTCGTAATGCCTGCCATACATGCCAATGTAGTAAAGTAAGAAGTGTTTCTTAAAATAAGATAATTTATGCACATCAGTGTATTAAGTTGACGATTTATCCAGTAATAAATTTATATACATTAGTACGTTAAGTGAAATTGATTTTTTTTATCATTGTGGAATTATACAACTACATCAGTAGTTTTGTTTGCACCTAACGTTTATAAACATGTTATTCTATTAGTGTTCCAAATGCTTTTATTTATTGTGAAATTGTTGTTAATAATAATAACCTATAACAATTGAAGTTTTTAAGAAGATAAAGATGAAATATATGAGTGTTCTGTTTCAAGTGAAGGAATTTATTGATTGTTTTGAAATCGGAACGACCTTGAGTTTAACAGTGAATTGATTCATGCCATTTTCTTCGCTGAAGACATTTATAATTTGTTGTGTATTCTGTTTGTAGAATTATTCGGAATGATATTTTATTATGTATTCGTAAATTTATTATCAGATGAATTATATTCTGATGCCAATTTATTTTAGATGAGATTTTTCTCTAGTAAAAGAAATATTCTTAGTAATTCTAAATGGTAGAATTGTGTCAATTTATCTTTTACTGATATAAGAATTTAAGTTTTTTTTTATGAAACTTTGATATTCGTTGATTGACTTTTGAATAATAGAAAGTTGTTATTAGTATAAAGCATATTCTTATTGAAGTTTTATCATATTAATTTGCCTATTATTATTTAGTTTGATTTGCATATTTTAAAAGCATAAATGGGAATTTAATTAATCATCACTTATTATTTGGTATACTCTCGTATTGCTTTATTTATCGAAATTTGGGTGAAATTGTTTTTTTTTTTTTTAATTTTTGAATATGGCTTATTTGGGGCGTGCACGTAAAGATGGTCTTAAGGCTTTAGCAATTGAGTTGGGTCATGATATTTCGGATGACATGAAAATTACCGATTTGTGTAAATCGATAACGACAGGTGAAGGATACGATGAAGAGTTCACTAAAAATCTGTTGTTTTTAGAATCTGAAATTTTTAGGTCATATTATCGAATCCGGACAACATTCCCCAGATCCCGAGAAGGTTGAAGCAATACAAAAATTAAGCCAACCATCCACTAAGAAGGAAGTCAAAAGTCTTCTGGGTTTGGCTAGCTACTATAGAGATTATATTCCAAACTTTTCAGATATAATGCTACCTTTGACCGACCTTACAAAGAAAAACGTTCCAAACAACATTCCTTGGGACGACTCAGTTGAACAGTCGTTTTCTAAGCTCTAAGAGCTATTAATTTAACTGCCCTCCTTGTACACTCCCAATATGGAACGATCGTTCCAACTTTTTACTGACGCCAGTGCAACAGCAGTAGGAGCCTGTTTATCACAAACTGATGAACATGGGAAAGAAATGCCAATTGCATTATTCAGCAAAAAATTATCAGAAAGCGAAAAGAAATGGTCCACTATAGAACGATAGGCGTGTTCAGTGATAGAAGCATTAAAACGCTTCAAAACTTGGATATTTACACACAAATAATTATAAATTGAATAAATAATATCACATATGATCTCGTATTTTGTTGGTATTTATAAAACAATTCCTCAGATCGATTATTACTTTATTCTAGTACTTGTCTTTAATATAAATGCCAACCATTCAGATCTTTTCTCAATTTTTTAAATCAAGTGAAACTAGAAAAAAAATTAATGAAATTAGTTAATATTTATATGATTTTATTTGATAAGACTGTCAATTTCATTTTATTTTAAAAATCAAAGAGGTTGGCTATTATATATTTATAAAATAATAAATATGTATATTCGTATGGTAAATATATTCTGTTGTAATTGTATACCATATTTTTATATACTACATACTATGTTGTATTACATAACTTTCAAAATACTAACATACTTTAAGAATATTTATATCAATGGTTAGTATAACATAGCTGTTGTGAGCGTGACCAAGATTAAAACTAAAACCTAATACATATTTTAAGTATGATTTCTTTATTTTATAAAAAAATTATATTTGAAAAGAATATTTATTTTTATGTTAAAATTACATTTTCTACCATCATTGTGATGAATTTTATATGTATATATATATATTTCATTTTTACCTTTCTACTCAATATTTTATTTCGAACCAAATGTTACAGCCCGATAATCATAATATCCGGCCATAACAGGATATCCGTTGCATCTCTACTTTTATTATCAGTGCTCTATCGCATACAAAAAGAATTTTTTGTATTTGAGCATTTATAACTAGCTATAGCGTTGAAGACAAATTTAAATCGAGTTGAAGTTAACAAATAATTTTTGATTTTATTACGATAATTTTTCATGTTACAGCATGAAATATGTGTCAAACAGCTTTTATTTTATGTTTTCTATCTAAAGATAAACAATCCCTTCAAGTTACAGCAATGTAACATTATTATTAATAATTATGCCTTAAATTTTTAGTTTATTTATTTTTAAGTTAGACGATTGGGTGAAGAGGTTTTTCTGATTAATTTTTTTTTTAGTTTAAGTTTCAAATTAAAGAAAAATTCAGTGTCATTTGAAATTGTTTATTATTTTCAGTTTTAAGTTCACGAGAGTTGAAATCTGCTTATTTCTGCTATTTCAAAGTCTAAATCTGCTTATTTCTGTTATGTTAGCTATGAATGGTTCAGCTGCAATTTCTATTTTTACTGGCAACATCTACATTACTTTCTGGTGGCAACACTACATAAGCGTTGTTTATAAACACTGCTCAATTCCTTGTGTGTTTTTTTTTTAAATTAATCTGTTGATGTTGTTTCATTTCCATGTAATAATTTCATAGATAATATTTTTATGATTTAGTAATTGATTAAGTTACGTTATGTATGGTAAGTAATGATCTATGTATTGTAATTATGTTTGTTACCTAATAAAATATTGGACTGTTTCAATGTTCATACTATTAATGTATTGAGTATAGTTACAACACCTTTGTTTTTTTTTATCGTATTCCAATAAATATAATTAAGAAATGAGTTTTTTATTCATTTACTGTATTGATTTATAACCTTTTTGGAAACTTATTGACTCTGTAGGTGCATAACTACACACACAAACTAGCTCGTTGATAATTATTTATTACTTATTAGTTCTCTTATACACATTAAAATGTATTGCCAGACGATACGCTTTCACTATGCATAACTCTTGACATTTAGTTTTAAGCGCTTTTTTTGCCACTGTTGTGTTACTCTGTGGAACATGTTTTACATTCCAAAAGTGAAAGTACGGTTTTGATTTTAAAATTGTTTATCTACCAGTAATCTTTTAATAAGGTGAAGGATATTTATTCATCTGCTAGTTTTTTTAATTCTGCTTCTAACTGTGTTGTTGCGGAATCCATTCTTTACGTAGTTCATTTACTTTAGGGAACATGTGGAAAATTATGCTTTTTCCTTTTGTGTTTTTATCAGAATTTTTGCTAGTTGAAATCGCGCAAACTGTCATTTCATTAATAGTTTTACATTTTTGTGAATTCACTGCAATAAACTGAAGAAAATAATTTTATAAAACAGCAAATATCTTGACATATGTCACAAAAAGGAATGCTCCAATATTAGTTAGACTGAACGCTACATTCTTGAAGTAAAAGTGCTAGCTTCGCACCACAGTGGAGGAAATCAGAGGTTTGGCGCGGGGAGAGTTTCTTCAAAGGAGTGAACCAGCCCTTCTATTATCTTTAGCCCTGGTTACGTTCTCTTCGATTGTTGAAATCTGCCCCCCCCCCCGGAGGGNCCGCCCCCCAGGAGGGGTAGATTTCAACAAAATACATGGTTCACTAAATATGTAAAATTAGGTACTTTGGCTTAGACATTAAATATCAAAATTAAGAGGTTACATCAAGTATCAATTAAGTAAATAAATATTAGAACTTAGATTTTGAAAGCAATAAAACTTCGAAAATAATTCTTTATCAAAAACTGTTGAAAGGTGCCCCCCTCTCGTCTTTATAAAAATAGTAAACAAGACTTAATGAAACTGAATTGATGAATAATGCATTAAACAAGCATAGTAAATAATTGATAAAGCTTGTGTGATTGTACGGTTATTAAAATATAAATACTATTTTTTAGTATGTTTGATCAAATTCTAGGTTACAAGAGAATGTATATAATTCAACAAAATATATCCATTTAACATATGTTTTAATTTTAATAATAAATTATTTTGTTACTTCAGAATATCAGTAATGTTTTTCGAGCATACTAAAATCCATTGTAGAACAATATTTTACAGATAACTAAGACTTACCAAGCTTTATTTTCTTTAAATTATTAATATATCCATAAAATATGAAGCGTGATTTTTAAAATATGCGTAATTTTCACCAAGCATAATTTTTACATCGCATTTACACATCTAAATTACATGTATGCAAGTCAAGATTATGAGAACGGAGAAGTAAGTCTCAAAGATGGCGTAAACTATGTATCACAATGTGAGATTTGTAATATCAAATTGAACTGCGGTGTATGTTTCTTAAATCAGAACAATATGAATATCAAATTATACAAAACTCACAAACAACAACTCTATAAAAATATAACGTACCTCGGCATTACGTTTTTATTTCGTTTCCCATTCTGAACGTCCGATGCTTTAATTTTAATTACGATAATTCATAGTTATTGTTGCTGTTAATTGTTTAAAAAATCAAAAAATATGTCGTAAACTAAACAAAAAGAATTATCATAAAGCGTTCCCATATTTTCAATTTATCTTGTCTTAAAAAAATTGCGTTGTACTATTTCAGGGTTCCTACGGTCCTTAAAAACTGCTTAACTTTTATTTTGGAAAATAAGGGCCCTTAAAAGTACTTAGTTTTGGTACAAGGTTCTTAAAAGTGCTTAATTTTTCAGCATCACTATAGTTGATATGAACAATTTTTCAGTTCGATGTTTTAAAACAGAAAGTCGTTCTTTTATCTCCTAGAATTAGATCATGCACGGTGAGTAAAGCATTTTAGAGAGACAAGAAGGGATGTGTGTGAGATGGCTACAGGCAAGGAGAAGAAAGCGTGTCTTTTTATTAATATATTGGTTCTTTCATTAATATATTCTGCCTCGAATGATTCTCTATGAGCCCTGTGGCAGAATTTTTTTGGGCTTTCTGCGACAATCTTCTCTAGCACTAATATTTTTCTGCAAGATACTTTTAATAATAACTCATATACATGTTATTAATTAAATTTAAAGTAACAGAAACGTATTTACAAAAAAAAGCCTATTTGGATATAATAAAATTTTATGTATTTTTTTTAAATAATGAATATGTAATATTTTTTTATTCTAATATCATGGGCGATATTCTCACATTCTGTAAGAGGAAAACACACTAATTATTTCTTTTTTCGCATTTCCTAAATCATCATCACACTTAAAAATTGTAAAATAAGTGAAAGAAAAGAAAACCAAAATTTTTCATTTTTCCCAAAAGGAAATTTAAAAAAATCACGAGCATTTCTTCCCCTCTGATGAGTGAATAAGGTATCTCTTGAGTATAATTGTGGTGGGAAAAAAATCTTTCTAACATTTCTGCAGAAAAGAAATTTTTTACTTCAATATACCTTATTTTTCATTCTTCTCAAATAAGAATCGAAAAATTAAGAACATTTCTTTCCCCTTCGATGCTTGAAAAAGACATCTTTTAAATATAATTTTAGAGAGAAAAAAAATTTCAAAAATTTTTGCAGAAAAGAAAACCAAATTTTTTTACTTTGTAAAGGAAAAATTTTTCTGCAAGAACTCTGTAACGTTCTGCAACAATGTCGCCACGATTCTGCCACTGGGTCTATGAGAGGAGTGACATTCTAAAAGAATAGAGTGTGGACAAGGGAAATACTGCAGATGGAAGAGATAGTGCTTTTTCGGGGGGTAGTTACAAGGTACTTAAGTAGGAGACCCACACTGACCTTCAAAATTGACAGAATTCAAGAAATTCTGTTCGACTGGTAATGCATCTGCTAATAGGAATAAAGTAAAACCCTAAGAAAAGAAGTATGAAAAAAAATTTTGAACTAGAATCCGTAACGAAAATTATTTCCGAAAATCTTGGAAGAATTAAATAAATTTGTATAATATTTCAGTGTGTAATAAGTAACTGTAAATTTATAAAAAGCAGCAAAATTCATGATTGCACTAAAAATTAGACAGATATGTAATAAGCAGGGTTTGAAAACTCTCATCCTACCTAGGTTTTATATCAAAAACCTGAGATTTATTGAGT